CAGAGAGGAAGTTTTATCCTTTGAAATTTCTGCTTATCCGGATTTCAGGGTAGTGCAACCAGACGTGAAACATCATTTAAAGGAAAAAAAATATTCTCTAATTTATTTTAATTAACCAAGCATTTGGATTTTGTCATTTATTGCTGTATCCTTTTCATAAAAACTTATAACTGCGAAGGAGATTTACTTACTGGCCTTGAGCTAGCAAAGAGCATCCAAAGAATTATTGTATAATCTATGACAGCTCTCTCCCTTCTTTTAAAAGAATTGACCAAAGCAGGAAAATCCCAAATGTAATTTTTTACATAATTGAATAAATTACAAGTTTTGTGAAGAGACAAAGCTGGAAGAGTTGCACTGAGTTTTTTTTAATGCATGTGTGCTGAAGGATCTCACATATCCAATATTAATCTACCGTGGATGCTACTGTTTTCTCTTTTTAAAAAATAAAGTGCTGAATAGCCCATGGCAGATTTTTAGGACAGGAAGTAAAATGCCACAGGAAAAGTACTGGAAGAAAATAGAATGACCTTAAATAAGTTCTGCAGAGACTATTAGCAGGGCTTTTGCATAGTACCTGAATTTAAACTGATGACAGCAGATAAGGGTGCTGGCTTTTGAATCTCATTGGTATTCATTCAGGATTTCTGAAAGTCAGTTATTTAGAGATAGATACAGATTACCTATTTTCTAAAGTTGTGTACCCAAAGCAGAGCTAGGAAATCAGAAGAAAAGAAAGGATGAAAGTGCCTTTTAGCTAGAATAGCCTCATAGATTTTCTCCTTTACTTTTCCCTCTGAGCTCTTCTGTAATCTTTGTAGTTGTAGTTAGGATTAAGCTCCTGTTCCTAAGGACTTTTCTTCACCTTGAGGAAGCAAAAAAAGGAAAAGAAAACTGAAGTAAACTTTCTTCGTTGCCTTAGAACAGTAAGAAAGATTCAGCGTCACACAGGGTGAGCTTGATGGCGCTGTGACTATTTCGGCCATGCAAGCTTATCTTTTCAATTACTGGCTTTGTAAGTGGAGGAGAAAGGACATAAGTGACTGAAGTATTTTAAGCAATTCCAGCACAACCTAGCACTGTTTATGCTGGTAACTCTTCAGTGTCCTAGCTTCAGCCAATCTTTCTGGTTTTCAGCCAGGTCGTGATAGCTGGAAACTGACTCAAAGCATAGTGGAAACCAAGCTCAGCTAATCTGAATGCATTTTGGAAAGGAACTTTGCTCTCCTGTGGATGAAGAAAAGGACATCGGATTTTTGAAACACGTGGTGGGGCAACTGTAACCCAGAGGTGCCTTAAAACTCTACTTGAAGATTGAAGACTACTCCAATTTTTGGATGTCCTTTTGTCCTCTGCTTCTTTAGTATGGGTTAATGGCATTCAGTAATGGTGTTCACGGAGCTGAAATTGGAGCTGTGCTTCCGGGGGAAGAAACTCAGAGGTTTTACCTGTAAGTTTTACAGATCGTCCAGTGGATTCCTTCCAGAAACATGCTTCTCCATTGCATCACAGATCTTCGGGCCGTATATACTGGCAGGTTTAGGCCTGGTAGCTGCTGGTTTGGTGATGGATATTCTTCAAGTATGTATGTTCTTTCAACTTCCTTGATAATGAAGGGTAGGCTGACTGCGAGCATCTATTTTTAATTTGGCTATATGGGAGCTAGGTGCAGTATTTGTTCTACCTGCCTGGAGGAAGAGTATCTTCTGTGAGAATGTCAGGGCTCTCCAGAGAGTCTTGTGGACAGACTGAGTTGGATGAAAGGCTCTTATTCATTGTCCACCTGTTGTTCTTTCTAAGTGTCCTGGAGGAGATATACTAGGATTGAACTGATCCAAGAACATACTCATCAGCCACAAGCCAGAATATGTTAGGAAAAATGTAAATGCCTGGGAAATATCACATGCAGTGTCAGGAATAGTGTGTTCCCAGCATTGGGTGGATTTTTGTGACAAGGAAGCTGCTCATGTGGCCCAGAATTTAGGTGGAAAACCCCGGCAGAGGTTATTGTGGAAAAGCTGGGTTACAGCAACTCCTGGTCCTCATTAGATCCTCCTTGCAGGGTACTCTCAGTTCTTTTTTTTTCCTTTAAATTTTTGTTTTGTTTTTCTTAATTTTTCAACTGCAAACTACAACTTTCTATCGCTTAAGAATATATTTTTCTTGTCCTCCTGGGGTTGTTTGAAAGGTGTGTGTATGTGTGTGTGAGTGGTTTGTTTGTGTGTGTGTGTGTGTGTGCATGTGCATTTATTATCAGCCTGAATCAGTCCACTGCAGGTTGAAAGCCGTCTCACTGAAGTTTAGTTTATGGAGTATAATTTACTATAGGTAGTCCTCAACTTACACCCACACTTGAGCCCAAAATTTATGTTGCTAAGTGAGACATTTGTTAAGTGAGTTTTGTCCCATTTTACGACCTTTCTTGCCACAGTTGTTAAGTGAATCAGTGCACTTGTTAAGTTAGTAACACAGTTGTTAGGTGAATCTGGCTTCCCCATTGACTTTGCTTGTCAGAAGCTTGCAAAAGGTGATCACATGACCCTGGGACCCTGCGACCATCATAAATATGAACCAGTTGCCAAGCATCTGAATTTTGACCATGTAACCCTGGGGGATGCTGCAACGATTGTTAAGTGTGAACAATAGTCCTAAGTCACTTTTTTTCAGTGCCGTTGTAATTTTGAATGGTCACTAAACAAATGGTTGTAAGTCAAGGGCGAACTGTATGCTAGTGCAGCGAGTTAGTGGATCTATGCTTTTGAACTTCCTAGTCTAGGGCTGAATGGCTCTCACTGGCCCTAATAATTTTCTTCATATATCCTGTCCTCTAAATAAATAGAATTCCTGTTTACGATCGCTTTGTTTCATAGGGCCTTATAACAATCCTCTAGTTGTGTATATACTCATGCAAAGAGTGCAGGATTTGTGTGCAAAACATTAGATTGGGTTAAATCACAATTGGATAGTTTATGGTTCAACAGGTTGCTTAGACCTAGCCTCTGTCTTAGTATGTTGTGTGAATCAAGTTAACATGTTAAAGCATAATATGATTTATTTGTTTGGACATAGGAAACTTGTTGTTTTGCTAATCTATGTTATGTTTTGTTAAACTTGACTAAGGTTTAGTATGTTGTGTGAACTCAGCCAAGGAATGATTACTCAGTCACAGAACACTCTATGCCTAAATAGGGAGAAGCCCCATTGATATTGGTGGGTTGGACTGTGCCCATTATATTTTTATTAGGAACATTTATTTCCCCGCTTGATTACTAATAAGCAGAACAGGTTGAAAAGTGAGATGGCAGTCCTATAATTTCAGGTGTATTTGTAATTTAAAATGCATAGGAATGATAGTCAATAATATGTTTATTGTGTTTGTTTTTTTTAAATACTTCCTGTAGAAATTCTCTGCCACTCGAAGGGTGTCTCTGATTTAGAGGCAAAAAACAGAAAAGGAAATAGTCCATTAATGCATTACATGTAAGAAATGGAAAAAGGCTTACGCAAATCTCTTATCACCCCAAAACTGCACTTTCTACTATGTTTTTCCTCTTCACTTTCAAGCCATTTATAATCAAATGCAACACACTCTTCGTTGTGTATTGACCCAATTTCTAATGGCAGTTATAAACTGTTAACTGAATATGTTTAAATCAAGTCTCTAACTGTTTGCATATTTGCTACAAGCCGGCACTTAGGATGGCAAATAGTGCTTTAAATTCATTGGCTGCCGCCTAGTCGCAGTCTGGTATAAATAGAAGCCAAGTGGCTGTTAGAGCCGCTTCTGTGTTCACTCAATAAAGATCTGTTGCTTAACAGCTGATCACTGCCTCACCGATCCCAGTATTTAACACTCTTGAACTTTGTGTTCTTCAATCTAAAACAACTTTGTTGTGCAGGATTGGCCACCAAGTAGATCATAAAATTAGAGAACTCATAGTTGTGTCAGTGAGGGAGGGAACCTTATGGCGCTATAGCAAAAGCTCCCAGCACCAAGGACTCCCCCCTGTCCAGCCCCCTGCAACAAGCACACTGTCCTCTGTCCCAGCAGGTCCCTCTCACTGGCCACTCGAAGGCGGACCAATCACCCCAAACCCTTCCACCTAGCTTCCACTCAAGGTGGGGTGTACAAACAACTACCCCCACACTAGCTGCTATGAGGCTCTTGCCCTAGGACAGGGGTAAGACAACCTTGGCTCTTTTATGACTCGTGGACTTCAACTCCCAGCTATGCTGGCTCAGGAATTCTGGGAGTTGAAGTCCACGAGTCATAAAAGAAGCAAGGTTGCCTACCCCTGCCCTAGGAGGAGCCCTCACAAAATCCCAGCCCTTAACCTCCCTCTTAAGTAACCCTGACTGCTATGCTCACTATCTGTCAAATGGCCACAATTCTCCCCAAGTCTTTCTTGTCCTATCCAAGAGAGGACAAAAGGGGGCAGAAGAGGGGAGGAGTTGACCATCAGAACCTGACTACCAGGACCTTAGTTGGGGAGTTTAGAAGAAAGTTGTTTTCTGGAGAAAGCAGCTGCAGTGCTATAGCCAAAGAAAAAGAGAGGGGTTGGATTGGCTTTGGGTTTTTTTTCTTTCTATGGTTGTGGTTGGTTTTTTTTTGATCCATAAAATGAAAATATAGCAGTTAATATCCATTTTCCTGATTTTGAAATTGTGGGTGTGCAAAGAAAGATTGAATGATGTAATTGGAACTATTTAAATAGTTTCCATGATACATGTTTGGTCCAATAAACATAGTTTAATTTTGTTATATATTTTTACAGAATTGTCACAAGAATGCTGATTTATTTCAATTTTCTTTATTAATTGTTGCTTAGGTATTTAGCAGCCAGTTTCAAAGTTGTATTGATAGAGGACCTATCCACACTGAAAAACAGCATACAGTTCAGAGCTGCTGGGAAATCTATATAGTACGCTAGTTCAAAGCTTGTATGAGTGTTCATGTTACAATTAATATCACAATGAATGCTTTCTTCTCTCCCTTTCAGCACTGGAAAGTGTTTATAAAAATCAGAGAAATGTTTATTTTGATTCCAGCCCTGATTGGTTTGAAAGGCAATCTTGAAATGACCTTGGCATCTAGACTTTCTACAGCTGTGAGTATCCTCTTTATGTTGTCTTTTAATACACAGAGAAGGATTCAGAGTTCTTGTTTGGTAAGAAAAGTATTGACATGTGATCAGCTATACACAGATGGCTCAGTAGTTCTTATCGTGCATAGGTTGGACCTGTATATTTTACTTTGCATGAACAACATTTCTGTTGTATATTTTACTTTGCATGAACAACATTTCTGTTACAATTGTATTTCTGGTTTCCCTACTGTACCACATATTTGGAAAGAATTATATTTTAGGTATCCAATAATATATTTGAGCAAAGGTCGGAGGGAGCTATTTTAAAGATGAAGCTACAAGCCCTCCATCTAGATCTACAGAAAGACAGGAGTGAAGTTCCTCACTATTATTAATGTGAACTTGGCAATAAAATGTTTATGTGCCCTGTATAATGTAACAGCAAGCCAAATCATTCGTGGCTTTGGGGTGGATTTCCATCAGTACGCTGACGATACCCAGCTGTACATTTCCACCCCAGACCACCCCAACGTTGCCCTTGACGTGATGGCCCGTTGCCTGGAGGCCGTACGGGTCTGGATGGGGAGGAACAGACTCAGGCTCAACCCTTCCAAGACCGAGTGGCTGTGGTTGCCGGCGCCTCGGCATAGCCAGCTGACACCATCGCTGACTATAGGGGGCGAAATCTTGGCCCCCTNGAACCTGACTACCAGGACCTTAGTTGGGCAGTTTAGAAGAAAGTTGTTTTCTGGAGAAAGCAGCTGCAGTGCTATAGTCAAAGAAAAAGAGAGGGGTTGGATTGGCTTTCTGTTTTTCTTTCTTTCTATGGTTGTGGTTGCTTTTTTTTTTTATCCATAAAATGAAAATATAGCAGTTAATGTCCATTTTCCTGATTTTGAAATTGTGGATATGCAAAAAAAGATTGAATGATGTAATTGGAACTATTTAAATAGTTTCCATGATACATGTTTGGTCCAATAAAAATAGTTTAATTTTGTTATATATTTTTATAGAATTGTCACAAGAATGCTGATTTATTTCAATTTTCTTTATTAATTGTTGCTTAGGTATTTAGCAGCCAGTTTCAAAGTTGTATTGATAGAGGACCTATCCACACTGAAAAACAGCATACAATTCAGAGCTGCTGGGAAATCTATGTAGTACGCTAGTTCAAAGCTTGTATGAATGTTCATGTTACAATTAATATCACAATGAATGCTTTCTTCTCTCCCTTTCAGCACTGGAAAGTGTTTATAAAAATCAGAGAAATGTTTATTCTGATTCCAGCCCTGATTGGTTTGAAAGGCAATCTTGAAATGACCTTGGCATCTAGACTTTCTACAGCTGTGAGTATCTTCTTTATGTTGTCTTTTAATACACAGAGAAGGATTCAGAGTTTTTGTTTGGTAAGAAGTATTGACATGTAATCAGCTATACACAGATGGCTCAGTAGTTCTTATCGTGCATAGGTTGGTCCTGTATATTTTACTTTGCATGGTGGTCATAAACAACATTTCTGTTACAATTGTATTTCTGGTTTCCCTACTGTACCACATATTTGGAAAGAATTATATTTTAGGTATCCAACAATATATTTGAGCAAAGGTCGGAGGGAGCTATTTTAAAGATGAAGCCACAAGCCCTCCATCTAGCTCTACAGAAAGACAGGAGTGAAGTTCCTCACTATTATTAATGTGAACTTGGCAATAAAATGTTTATGTGCCCTGTATAATGTAACAGCAAGCCAAATGTACTATTTGTCATCCATGATTATGAAAGGGAAGGGATTTGTTTGTTTGTTTGTTTGTTTGTTTATACGTTATATGCCACCCATCTCACTATCCACTACTCTCACTCTGGATGGTTTACAGTACAGTAAAATCATAACTACAAGGCCATTAAAATTAACTTGAATCAGATGAAAAGCTGCAAATCAAGAGCACAATATCCCAAGATAACTTATCCCAAGATAACCTGTACTGTGTTGGCTTAGGACAATTGAGCTAGTATTGCATGTGCATGCCTCTGAATTAAGCCCGGCATCTTGAATTAATGACACATGCTTGTTAACCAATCATTTACGTTGATCCGAAGAGTTAAAAATATCCATCTTGATAGTAGATTAGTCGCTAGCAGCATTTAGGAGGTTTGCATATTTTGTCTGACTATAATTCCCTTATTTATTCATTCATTCAATTTCCATAGTTGCCCATCTCATATTCTTGAGTCTGGGTGGTTTACAATAAAATCATAAACAGTACCAAAAAAATTAAAAAAATGAAACAGCCATACAAACAATACAAACATAAAAAAAACACTTAAACCGTTAAAGGTATAGACTAGTACATTCCCCGAGAGAGCACAGCAATTCAAGGACAGCCCAGCCATTTTAAGATCTCCATACTTCTCCCTGATCCTTAGGTCAGACATCAAAGCCAGGTATTTGGGCCCTTCTGGAAGACCAGCAAGGTCAGAGTCAGCCTATTGTGCTATCAGCCTGGCTTATTCAGTTAAACCAGGGGTAGGCAACCTTGGCTCTTTTATGACTCGTGGACTTCAACTCCCAGAATTCCTGAGCCAGCCATCCTGGCTCAGGAATTCTGGGAGTTGAAGTTCACGAGAGATAAAAGAGCCAAGGTTGCCTACCCCTGACTTAAACAAATGGCTTTACCGTGTTCAGAATTCCCAAACTTTGCAAATGGTCTTCCCTTTTTTTCAGAGATTTGAAACATTTTTAGTTCTGGGTAGAACGTTGTAACTTAGTTACATATGAGCTGCTGTGATAAAATCCAAAGGTGCCTGCCTTGGACATGAGTATGAAGTTCAGACACTTTGCAGTTGTACCTCCTGATTGTGTGCATCCAAACTGTACTCCAAACTGGGCCACGGTCCTTGTAAATCTATTTTTAAACTGGTCACATTGCCAGTTGGAAGGAAAAAGAAATCCATTCCCTGCAGGCATATCTCTAGTGGTTTTTCATAAAGATGAAAATGAAAGAGACTGATAGTGGTGCCCTGGCACAATCCTGCCAAAGCATAGACGCAATTATTGCAGCAGGTGCTCTCCTTTCCTTCCCTGCATAAGAGTTACATGTTGTCTCCTGGGCATTTCAGGCTAATACTGGCCGGATGGATAATACACAGGAAAAATGGAAAATGGCTATTTGCAATATGGCCTTGATTCAGGTAAGCAAGTCTAAATTTTTTATGGAAAATTTTGAATAATACTAGTCAATTAGAGCCCCTGGATGATTAAGCTGATACTCACTTATTACAGCTGTTTATTAATTGTGTCACTTCAGAAATGGAAGTCCTTTTTTTTTCTTGTACAAACTCTTGATGTTTGTTGTTTCCTAATGAGGTGATTATTTTTTCACATGTTTTAGGGAAAAGGTCCAGACATCACAGCTTTTATAACGTTTCTGTTTCCAACTACTTTTGTCTACTTTTTTTGGTACAGAAGTTAAGATTAGAGGAAAAGTCAGAGTAACTACATATTATCTTTTGATTGGTGGCAGTAGGAGTCTAGAAGCAGCCGATTCCTATAGCCACAGGTTTGTGAGGTATTATAAGACATTGGAAAGGCCTACACAGAAGATTCCCTTCACTAGTCAAGACAATGATCATTCCTATCACTGTTCAACTTACTCCATGTCACTCAGAACTCCAATTAAGTTTAATAGTTTTAAAATGGGTCATTTGACTCATATGCCATTACTTTTTCAGTATGATTTAGAACACTCATGTTTGCGTATACATTTGTGAAATATCCCCCGGTTTCAACAGAGATATCTAGGTTCCTCTAACAATGCAATAACATTTTGATTACACAGAGTTAGATTTTTGGATTTCATTTCTCCCAGATCAGTACCCATTTAACCAAACACACACAAAGTGTTACAAAGTATAAAATACTGACAATAGCTAAAAACATTTATTGATTTATTACTGTATCGAATTACTTTGTTAAATACGGGATTTAATTGATGAGATCGTGGAAAAGGAAATATGTGCTCTCCCACCAACTATTGCTGAAGTACAGCTCTCAGCATCCCGAAAGTGAATTGTTACAACTTACAGTTCAACATCACCTGAATTACTATAGGGTAAGAGTTTAAGGTTCCAATCAAATGATTCACAAATAGTCCTTATTGCATTCCAGATATTTAATTCCACACCACCTTCTCAGATGAAGTTTCAATATTTTTGTTGTTTAAGGAAACATTTGTCAGCTGACTAAAAGTAATTGCCTAACAAGGTATCTGTTCAACAGAAGCCTGTGGAGGGTGAAATTCATTTCATATGTTACAGATTGGCTTTTTCACACATGAACTTACTTTCATAAGTCTGTCTGAAAAGTAGCTTTCTACTATGAAAAGAGTAACTGGCAAAGATAAAGTGAAGGACAAAAATGCATACTGCTTTTCTCTGCATGACAAGCTTAATCATCCTTGGATGATGCTGTTGGGGACACTCGACACATTAACACATTCATGCCCACCATCTAGGAAAGAGATCTGAAGAAATGCTTCTGAACTGATCTCGCACTACAGCCTCTTGAGATGTTCTGTTCTTCATTGTTTCTGCTTGACAGGTACAAGCCACTGTGATAGGTCTTCTGGCAGCTGTAGCAGCAATCCTTCTAGGGGCACTCTCTAATGGGTATTTGGAGCTGAACCATGCCATTGTGTTGTGTGCCAGCAGCCTGACAACAGCATTTGTAGCTGCCTTTTTCCTTGGTGAGTTGTTGCTGTTTTTTTAAACTCTCGTGATTCCTGGAATACTAGTTGGTCCTGCTTTTGAAATTTTAATTCTGCTCCTTATACAAATAGTTTGCACTTGGTTCCTGGTCATTATTTTATAACTATTTGTAGACAAATTGGATTCTTTCCTTGGGAAGTCACACAGACTGTATCAGTAATAAATGGGAGTATGGAAATACATTACCATCTTCATCAGGGGTGTCAAACTCGCCACGTCACATGATGTGTTGCGACGTATCGCAACTTTTTCCCCATTGCCGGAGCTGGGGTGGGTGTGGTTTCGGCATGGCGCATCTGACCTGTGGGCCGGCAGTTTGACACCCCTGATCTACATGAACCAGTAATCTGTTACAAGCATCTATCCTTCTAATGGGGCCAGATCAGACCAGTACTCCACCTGGCTTACTCACAGGTATATCGCTTGAGATGCAGCCCCTCAAAGCCATGGGTGTAGTTCCAAAGACTTCAGTTGCAAGATTCAGTGGGACAGTAGGGCAATTAAATAGTTGAATGAAGAATAACTGTATTAATGCTACTGAATTTAAATAGTTGAATGAAGAATAATAGTATTAATGCTACTTAATTTCATTACATGTAAATGAATGTTAGTTTTGTCTTATTCCTCCCTACGGTTTTAAGCATGGAGTGTGAGCTCCATACTCAAAGGTCAATTGCTATCTGTAGCTCGGAAAATCTGCACATTGCTGGTCTGCTTTCGCAGGCTATGGTTCTTCAGAGAATAGTCTTTTTTATGTTGAATTATGTTGAATTGCCAATGACTGAATCTGGAGTCCTGTGTATGAAGAATGAGCTGCAGCCCATCCTGTTTGTATGAGTTGATTTTTCAACCTACTCTATGTCACTCAGAAATACAATTAAGCAGCATTAAGCAGCAGAGCTTGCTTAATCATAGAGCCTAAATAATCTGGGTTAACAATGAGGTCTAAATGTCTTACAAAAGACTTAACGGGTTTAGAGCTTTCCCTGTTGTTCCATGGGAAAGTGCTGCCACAGAGAAGGGACAATTCCAGGATCCAAAAAAATGATATTGTTTAAGCAAAGTAACCTTCAACTGAGTGGACACTCACTTTTGAGATATGTTTTTGTTTGTGCAGAAGTGGTAGCAACACCATAATAACAGAGGCATAAATTCTGAATCAGTTCCATAGAGGCAGGAGCTACTATTTTCCACTCTTCTGTATCACCTAAAATACTGGTATCATATAAAATTAATCATTTTCTCATAGTATCCCTTGCAAGAATCCACAAGCAGTTTCAGCTAAATGGCTTTATGCAGGGACTTTTAGGAAAACAGCCTCACTTTCAGTTTCTTTACTCTTTACATAAATCTTATGTACCACCTTCTTTTGTTTCTCCTGGGATCACTTCTTCTGCTTAGCCAAAACTCTGCCCTCGTCTTAGGCAATTCTTGTCACAGACGGGTTTTTCTTTTTCACCTTTAAAACTTTTTTCCTATCCTGTCAGGACTTTGAGGCCTTATTCGTGAAATATGGCTGAATAATAAAAGTGTTTTGCTCCAAGAAGTGTGCAGGTCTTCCACAAGAGAGCAGCATATGACTTTTTAAGAAGAGGAAGGAACAAGCTGCTATGTTTCACATGAGAAATACTGGTGTATAAATGTAAAAAATGAATGCAGCAGCAGTGTTTTAAGGTGATGGCCCATTTTTTTCTAGGCTGTCAAAACAAAGAGGTGACAGAGAAAAATTTTTGGAAAGTGCAATATGCGGGTGCAGATCAGATTGTTGCTCTTCAGGAGGTCATTGAAAAATGTTTGAATGAGATAAAGTTTATTGTGCATTGTTATTTAGATAAAGCATGTAATAAAAGTGAGTAGGCTTCAATTATGGAATTTTTGAGCAAGCATGAAGTTGAAAAATAGCTGTTGAATGCAGTAAGAGCACAAGTAAAGCATGAATTACATTAAATGGAATTCTCAACAAATGAGCCAACATTGAGCAGGGAATGTAATAAGGATGTATGATATCCCTTTGGTTATTTAGTGTATCTATAGAACAAAGTTTGGTATAGTAGTTAAAGGTGCTGGACCAAAGCAGGGAGAACCAAAGTTTAACTTCTCCCTTAGCCACAAAACCAGGTGGATGACTTTGGATCAGTCACACTCAAACGTAAAAAGAAGATGTTGGCAAACCATTTTCAAAAATATTGTAAAGAAAACTACATGGATCTATCCATGTAGTCATCAGGAGTCAAGCCTATTTTGAAGGACCATAATAGCAGTTACATAGATTAAAGTACAAGGAAAACTCGTGGTGATAGTTGAAGCGTGTCAGTTGGTGGATGAACATAGCTGTACTTTTGTATGCTGACCATCCTGTGTGTGAGGTGAGAATTCAGATGTTTTGCAGGAAATGATACAATAAGAAATATGGATCTAAAAATTAATTTATTCAAAGAACATAGTTCTGTTTGACAAGGAAAACAGAGTGAACTATAGCAAACTGTACAGAAGTTGCAAAAACCTACTGGAAGTAGATAAATTATATACATTGGTAGAAGGTTTATTCAATTTGGGAAAATGAGTGGAAGAATTTGAAGACAAGAAAATGTTGGTAGAAAGGTAGTGGGTAGTATGTGGATTGTTGTTAGGAATGCACAAAAAACAAAAAATGCTTGAGTATGTAAGTGTGCTGCCTGCTTTATAATATGGAATTGAGAGTTGGAGTTGTAATATGTATCATAAAAGTAAACTGAATGTAAGGGGAATGCATATTGTTCTAAAGGCGTATGTATGGTGAAAGGAGATAGGCTCAAGAATGAATGGCTACTAAATGAATGTGGAGTGAATAAAAAAGTGAATGATAGGTACACAAAAAGTACATTGGTCATAGAGAGAGAGAATTAATTAAAATCAAATATCTGAAGACACAGTGAATGTGTCTAAAAGAAATCAAAGACCAACCCAGTTGTGGTTTGATATAGTTGATGGGATAGTCAAAAAGAAAGAAGCCGACAATAAAAGGTGATATATGAAAAACAATGCATAAATGTGTATTGTATAGAAGCTGATGTATAGAAGCAAAGATCTATTAAGAATGGGAAGTGGTGACTCTTCAGATATGACTGAATTGCAGTTCCCAGGGACCTCGGCAGCATGGTTCATGGAGATGACTCCTGGAAACTATGATTCAGCAAAGGATCCTCTTTCCTTGACATAGCCATCCAGTTGTAGAAACTCTCTTCCCAACTCCGTAGTTAATATACCCCTTTTAAGTTTTCCAATGTGAAAAATGTGAGTGAATATTTTAAAAACTATACAGAATTATTTATAGTTCCTGTTGATATTTTCAATAATGGGCTTTTTGGTGCTGTATTTGATCTATTTTTTCCAGTACCTTTTGATTCTCTTCACTGCATCCCAGATGCTAACAAGTATTATTCTCTCATCTCGTCATTCTAGTCACACTTAAAAGATACTGGCTGCTTCTAGCTCTGTGGGCTTTGGAAAAGAAGAAGTTCCAGAGGTGTTCTGAACTTTTGTTATTCTGCAGGTCTATTGGAAACTTTCTAAATCTGTGGTATCTCTCTTTCCTAGGATTGTTGATGATTGGTGTAATCATTGGAGCAAGAAAGATTGGGATAAATCCAGATAATGTTGCTACTCCTATAGCTGCAAGCCTTGGAGATTTGATTACTCTTAGTCTGCTGGCTGGAATTAGCAGTGTTCTCTTCAGATATATAGGTATGTTAATGAGAAAATCTTGGGAACTCAGCAGCAAGTTCAACACATTACAAAAAAATGATTTTGGAATAGTTTTCTGTATCAATGGGAGGTGCCTTGGAAGGCTGAGTATGGAATACAGTAATGGACAATCTTCTTCTGTCTATGGAAAACTCACCTTAATGAGTTTTAATGACCTTTGTTTATTTATTAATAGGCATTAAAAGGCAAATAACCAATGCAGAGAAATTGTTCTTTGACAGGTAGAAGTAACAAAAAACAAGCATCAACATTCTTGGATGGCAAATATAATGGAAATTATCTAATCTTGCCTTAGTAATAATAGATTTCTGGACCAATATAAGCTACATAGAAAATAATATTTTGGCAGATTTAAACTGGCAGAGAAAATACTTAAAGCGTGTCCAAATTCCATCTTCCCTTCAGTCTTTGTGGCAGGACACTTTATATATAAAACAGCCCATTCTGTCTTTATATGAAGCATGGATGTTTTGTATAATGAAGCAGTATAGGCACAGGTAGATGTTTTTAAATGACCTAGAAAGTATTCTGAAGGCTGCCTGAGTTGTAGGCTTTGTACTTTATTTTCAATCTTTAAAGATTTTTCCCCCCTTTGGAAGAATTTAACAATGATAGGGGAAGTTATAATTTCAAAAATGAGGACAGGTCATGTGACTATTTATGTCTACTCTGGATGGATCCAGTTCTTTTCTTCAAAGGCAGCAATCATGCCGTACCTTAGTAAAAGGAGGGGACATTGTACTGTACCTCTGGTGCCACATTCATGCACTTCAGGATTCAGCTGGTGTGTAATGAGATATGACCCAGAAAACACATCCATAAGCACTTCCACAAAACTCTCTGGATAACACTGGGCAGCCCTATCTCGTGACTTGTCCCCTACTTCAGGCTGCTCCTGGAATACCTATTCTGCAAAACATTAAAGGCTGAAAGGTACAAAGAGTTACGGTGTTCTGTATATCTAACAATAGAAGAGAGATTTGAAAAATATGTAAATAATCTTGCTACCGAAAGCAGAGAGTTTGTTTAGGTTTCTCAAGCATTTCGCCACCTCTCCCTCTCCTCATAAACCAGGTAGAGATACAGCACTTCCACCTGTTTCCTAAGCAGCAAGCTTCTGCCATATAATATTGTATCTATAATAATAATAATAATAATAGTAAAGTTGGAAGGAACCTTGAAGGTCATCTAGTCGAACCCCCTGCTCAGGCAGGAAACCCTATACCAGTGGTTCTCAACCTTTTTAATGCCGCGACCCCCAACCGGTCGTAAGTCGAGGACTAAATCGGTCGTACGCTGAGGACTAAACCGGTCGTAAGTCGAGGACTAAACCGGTCGTAGGTCGAGGACTACCCAACCGGTCGTAAGTCGAGGACTTTCCCTGCCCGGGAGCGCTGCACATGCGTGGTTCCTCCCCCTGCGCCGGCCGAGGCGTAGCTGGCAAGGGCAGAGATGGAGCAGGCCGACCACCAGCTGGCCCAGCCCAAGGGAGGTAAGGCACCCACCGGAAAAGGGGNTGTCAGGAAGTTTCTCCTTAGTTCTAGGTTGCTTCTCTCCTTGATTAGTTTCCACCCGTTGCTTCTTGTCCTGCCTTCAGGCGCCTTGGAAAGTAGCTTGACACCCTCTTCTTTGTGGCAGCCCCTGAGATATTGGAACACTGCTATCATGTCCCCCCTCGTCCTTCTCTTCATTAAACTAGACATACCCAATTCCAGCAACCGTTCCTTATATGCTTTAGCCTCCAGTCCCCTAATCATCTTTGTTGCTCTTCTCTGCACTCTTTCTAGAGTCTCAACATCTTTTTTACATCGCGGTGACCAAAACTGGATGCAAGTGTGACCTTACCAAGGCATTGTAAAGTGATATTAACACTTCACGTGATCTTGATTCTATCCCTGTGTTAATGCAGCCTAGCACTGTGTTGGCCTTTTTGGCAGCTGCAGCACACTGCTGGCTCATATTTAGGTGATTGTCCACTAGGACTCCGAGGTCCCTCTCACAGTTACTACTATTGAGCAAGATACCCCCTATATTATACCTGTGCATTTGGTTTTTCTTGCCTAAATGTAGAATCTTGCTTTTTTCACCATTGAATTTCATTTTGTTAGCTAGCGCCCAGTGTTCAAGTCTGTCCAGATCCTCCTGTATCCTAAGCCTGTCTTCTGGAGTGTTGGCTATTCCTGCCAGCTGGGTGTCGTCTGCAAATTTGATGATTTCCCCATCTATCCCCTCGTCCAAATCGTTGATATAGATATTGAAGAGCACTGGGCCCAGAACAGAGCCCTGGGGCACCCCACTACACACTTCCCTCCATGTAGATGCAGTTCCATTGAGGACCACACGCTGAGTATGGCCGGTCAGCCAGCTACGAATCCATCTGGTGGTGATGCTGTCTAACCCACATTTTTCTATCTTGTCAAGTAGTAGGTTGTGGTCTACTTTATCAAATGCCTTACTGAAGTCCAAGTAAATCATGTCTACAGCATTCCTCTCATCCACTAATTTTGTCACTTGGTCAAAGAATGCAATAAGATTTCAAAGAATGCAATAAGAATGCAATCTTGTAGAATTATACCTTGCTTTTCCCAGAGGAGGCTGCATTTCTTTTCTTTGAAATTGCTTGCTTTGCGATTAATGCAGTTTTGCGATTTCATCCTACTGGCTTTAGGCTTTGACAACGTCTTTTGCAGGAAAATGAAAAGCACATTTCAAGAATTCTTGACTGGAGATCGAGTTGCTACTAGCCCAGCTTTGGGCCAATTACAAAGAGCAGGTGGAGAATCTTATAAGAAAGATCATTAGGGTATCAAATGTTTGGCACTCTTCTGTTTGTTTCAAGGTGTTTCTGAAGCCTCCTTTCTTCTGCTTCTGACTCATGTTTGTTTTCTAGCATTCTTGTCTGTCTTCTGTACAAAATCTCCTGCCGTTTTCAAGGTGATTCCAATGCTATGTTATTTCAGAAAGAGGAAATGATTAAAGGGTTACTAACTAAAGAGAGTTAATAAATTAATTTCTTGCAGCTCATTTATGGTGAAGCAGGCTAAGATAGTAATAATTATTCTATTTGTAGCTCAGATTCACTGATTATCTCCAAAGGAGAGGGCAGACTAGAGCAGTTTAAGCAATGGAAGAAAATGGGGGGGGGCTAATTTTTTGCAGATGAGGACTATTCAACTATGCAAGGGTAGGCAACCTTGGCTCTTTTATGACTCGTGGACTTCAACTCCCAGAATTCCTGAGCCAGCACAGCTTTATTCTCCCAGAATTCTGAGAGTCATAAAAGAGCCAAGGTTGCCTACCCCTGAACTATGGAATGTTCCATTGCAAATGATGGAGGGATTCTTTGCTCAAAGTAGTTTAGGGCAGTCCTTGTTTGAGAATATTGGTTGTTTTAAACAGAGACTGAAATACATTTCTATAGTTCTATTATAGGCAGTCCTCGACTTACAACAGTTCATTTGGTGACTGTTCTGAGTTACAGTGGCACTGAAAAAAACTCACTTGTGACCATTTTTCACACTTACGACAGTTGCACCATCCCCATAGTCATGTGATTTATATTCATACACTCGACAACTGATTCACATGTATGACGGTTGCAGTGTCCCGGGATCATGTGATCACCTTTTGTGATCCTTTTAAACAAGGAAAGTCAATGGGGAGACCAGATTCACTTAACAACCGTGTAACTAATTTAACAACGGCAGTGATTCACTTAACAAATGTGGCAAGAAAAATCGTCAAATAGGGCAAAACTCACTTAACAAATTTCTCACTTAGCAACGTAATTTTTGGGCTCAGTTGTGGTCGTACGTCAAGGAATATTTGTATTACCTTATTCTAGGCAGAATAGTCAGGTAATCTCAATGCTACTCTGGGATTTTTATAAAGGAAAATATGAAATTGAACTAGATGGAATGAACTCACTTCCAAGAAAAAAAGGAACATGCTCAGCTTAACTCTTAATTCATACAATTCAGTTTGTAGCCAGAAAAAAAATCTAAAAGAAATGGATTTCAGCTGCCATAATGATGTATCACACAGACTTTTCCCCCTAAAACTCTTGTATTTCAGCTCTCATAAACCTTAAGGCAGTTGAAATCCAAAACAGATGAAGGCACCATGACGTGAAGGTCTAATTCCATGACAGTATCTATAAATCCGTCATGAGATTTTACTAAAATAGAAGTTGACTTCTCTGACTTCTATTACCATTTGAGTGGGACAACCTACGAAGAAAAATCTTAAGAATTTTTTACAATCTTCCCCTCCTTCTGATAATTTTCTCAATATTATAGTGGTGTAAACTTTCATGGTGAGCATCAATCAAGCCGTGATGAACTTTAGATACTGAATGGTCATGGTCTAATGTTCTGACATTTCATTGGCAGTGAAGTTTACTTAGACAAGGAACCACTCATGAACCAGCTTTCTTGTGACATGAACCAATCAGACCTTATCAGCTATGAATACAAAAGCCCAGCCAATTCTTGGGGGGGGGGGGGGGGTTGCCTGTGAGCTGCTGAGAAGTAAGTTACAAAGAAGGTCATTCTGCCCTTGAAGAGCAGCTGCCAGCAAAATGTTAGGCTGCCGTAAAACTAATATTACTTCAATAAATCTTGTTTTATTTAAAAGTTTGTGCACATACAGATCTGTTTGTTAAAAAGCATAAATATTATATTAAAATATAATATTTTAAATGGCTGATTTTCAGGTTTTTTGTTTGGACTCATCCCATTTTTTAACTCCAGTTCAACTAATATGACGAATTAATCCACAGGAATTAAGCCATTACAAATAAAAATAACACAGTATTTGATTTGCAAATAAGTATTTGCTCCTTTTTTCAGGTTTTCAGAATAAAAATCTTTCCCACTGAGTTTTATTAGAATGATGTAATTCTGTTGACATAAAGAAAGCCTGTGAATAAATATCACCAACATTTGATGCATGTTTTACTTATTTAATAAGCAAAATCTTTCAACATGTAATGTGCCGGTGTGAAAAAAATTGTTCCTCTAATTCAGTCAGTTCAGTTAAAGTGTAATTGGCAAGATCAGTTTTATGAAAACTTAATTTAAGAATTGTGGCTGATTTTAACAGTAAAGTTCTTAGCAGCACATAATTCCCAGCTGACTATAAATGTTCAAAGATCTCTATTTAAAAAATCCTCAATCCTCATCCCCATTGGAAAGGACTATAAAATCTTGGGGTCTCACAGGTCAATAGTGAGACACTTATGAAATATTGAAATATTATTGGAGATAAAAGTGAATCTTTTCAAAAGTGGCCATTCTGTCACAATTATTCCTGAGAGCAGAGCATAATATTGCCTGGAAATCTGTAAACCTGGCTTAGCTAAAATCAATGTCCATGAATCTATCATCATAAAAGCATTGGCTAAAAATGGGAAGCCATTTTTCCCTAAGGAATTCCAGGTTTGCTTAAAAGCAAACAGAGACATAGCTATGGATAGATGGATCACTAGTGGAACTTTTCAGGCTATGAGGATATTACGTGTGGCAGAAACTGCATTTCACGATAAGAGCCTCAGATCAGGTATCATAGGTTGAAGCTTTCTGCTTCAACTTGGACTATTTGTCATCACTGAAAAAAATCTGAAATTATCTTTGTAACGGGGAATTCTACAGGAAAGTATGACACCATTTGTTAAGCTAATTCATAAAATAAGTTGTTGGGGTAACAGGACAGTTACCCCAAAACCAAATCTATGAAAAAATGAAGAACAAATTCAATGCTTTGAAAGATTAAGGCTGAGTTAATATACTTTAGGATGACATTTATATAAAAACGTAGCATTTTTATCTTAATTAAGATGAAGGTATTCATGCTAAACTTCCAGTGAAGTACATCTGAGGAACTACCTCCCACATGAACCTATGGATTTTGAATTACTATTGATGAATTATTGCCATTATGATCTTGCTTGATGTCATTGTTTATTACAGTTAGTGCTGCAAAATACAGTTACAGTATATTACATTTATGGTATTTTTTATATTACTAAATTTTAGTCCATCTTGCAGATTCTTTGAATGAAACATTAAAACATAAACATTTGAACTATTATTTTACATTTTCAGGCACTTCTCTCCTTATTATTGATGTTTAACATTCTTCATTTTCATGTCCAATATATTTTCCAGTTATTTCTCATATAGCAGGTGATTGAAAAAGGATGCCCATCAAATCCAGTTCCGAGAGCGATAGGACTTGGGTGTCCTATCGCTGCAACTGTGTTTTTAGTTGAAAACCATTGAATCGTTTTACCAAAATAAAGATGTGATTTAATCCTTCAGAACTGAAAATTCAAATGTAAATCTGGGATTTTCTGTTTTTTCTTTTCTTTTCTTTGACAGATGTAACATATCTGTCCCCTATGGTCTGTACCATTTTCATTGTTTTGATTCCTTTGTGGATTGCTATTGCCCGGCAGAGTCCTCCCATTGCTGAAGTCTTGAAGACTGGATGGCAGCCAATTATAATCGCAATGATCATCAGCAGGTAATCATCACTGAAGACAGAGCTTTGCTCCTTTGCTATGTGGAAAAATCAGTATAATAATCAGTTTTGTTAATTTATGGCTTTTTGTTGGGGATTGTCTCTATCTATCTGGAATATGTTAGTGAAATCTTTACTAATAAGCATCTAGATTTGAATCTTTAAGAAGCCAAAATAGGTGGGTTTTTATGGTATTTGAAATAAATAAAAGAATTATTGAGAAGGCACAGTTCTTTCTGTCTTGAAATTGGTGTACTAAACATGTTCCAGCTTTTAATTTCCCTCAGTTTGTCCAGTCGTCTAATACATTTAAAAGCATCAACTTCAAAACATGGTTTTAGCTTCCAGAAAATAATTTTGAAGCTTTGAGTGGTGATGATTCCCCCCAAATAAGTAAAACATATGAATAGCCAGCTGGGTAACTTTGGGTTGGTCACTCACTCTCAACCCAAGACTGATAAATAAAATAAAAACCTATCTACTAACCTATATTGGACCAGCACGGTAGATTATAATCTGTCATCTTCAATAAAGAAGTTTTCATCCTGTAATGTTTTCATTTGGACCGATAGTAATAAATAATAATTATTAGAGGGATAACATTTCCCACTGACAGTTTCTGAGAAAACTGAGTGGGAGGTACTCTTGTGGTCAAGCTTTACATTGGCTTTCCACTAACATGTGACTGACTACTCTATCAGTTGAAAGAGATAGAATTTAGATCTCATTAAACACAGATACACTGACATCAAATCTTTTCATATGGGGGGGGGTCCTTTTTCTTTTAGTGCTCTCTTTCCCGAAGGCAAATTTAAAATTCTTGTTCTATTAGTAAAATTTCTTAACTTCCTGACTTAACTTCCGTAAGGTTTGAATTCTTATTTGCGAATACGTTGCTAGTTTATGCTAATGATGTATAGTTGTATATATGCATGAATAGATGGTAGTAGTTTGCATTTAGGCTATTGGTAAATTAGACTAATGGATGAATGTGTATGTTTTGAAACAGCCTTGGTGGAGTGATTTTGGACAAAACTGTAACACAACCAAAATTTGAAGGCATTGCTGTTTTCGTTCCAGTGATCAACGGTAAGATGTTTTTTTAAAAAAATAAAAAAATAAATAAAGGATTGCAAATGAAATGAAATATAATTTCTGCTTTATTGTTTTAAGACTGGGGTTCCAAGGTTTGATAAGAAAGCTAAATAAACATTGATTATCTCACAAAAGTACATTATATTATTTAGCATTTTTCACCCTGGGGATGCATTAGGACATTCAGTAATTAAAATTCTTCTCAGTTGAGTAATTTAATAATTATCAGCAGGTTGTAAAGGAGAAGGGTTGTAATTCTGCAGTGGAACATCTCCATTTTATTAAAATAATTCTAAATTCAAAACTCGGATGATAAAACATTGCTGGACAGAAGAATTGTGTTGCTCTAACCATGCATGCTGACTGGGGAATTCTAGGAGCGGATATTCACACATCTTAGACTTGTCAGTGTGAAGAAACACTGCTCTAAACACACCATTGGCTTAGTTTCTATGCCAAGAATACATTGATTTTTACTGGAATATTAAAGTCTTCAAATGCTATGTGTATTCTTAACACTTATGTATGGGTCCAGAAAATCGACTTATTCATATAATGAAGGCATGGAGTTTGTAATGGGTAAGTTGGGCCACATTGTATGCTGAGATTTAGACATCAGTTTAAACTGCATTGTAATTGCCATAGAAATATATTTAAAATTTGAAGAAAATAAAAGAATGAAACAGGAGTTTGATCAGTCTAAACTCAGAGCAGGATCTATGTGAAGAAAGCTCCATCAATATGCACTGGATATTGCACAATTTGAGTTGAAAAAAATGAATGGGAAAGGCCACAGGTACTGTATAAATGTAAGGTTTCCATGACACCAGCTGATCAGCTGAATGAAGGACGTGACTTCTTCAATTTGCCAGCCTGAATTACTTTGGAAATATAGTAACACATTTGTCTTCTAAATTTGCCTGGCGTAGATGGAGTCCATTTTCTCAGTGCCTTCAGATGAACAAAGTGATTGTGGTGTGCTAAGTTTATTTTTTGAAGTGGATTAAAAATGCAAAAGCCTTCTGGCTGTGTTCCTTTCTGAGAAATGAAATTAAAAGCAGGTGTCAGAGTTTCAGCAAACAGGCTGTGCCAAATAGGTTCTAGAGGAGAGGGCTACTCTTGGCGAAGTTATGTGACAGCTCCTCACATCACCAGGGGAAGGAAACCCTGGGATCATACTGAAGATCATGCTGGGGAAGGGAGGGTCTTCCTTGTGTAAATCACATTATGAATAGTGCCTTTGCGTTTGAATTATGATTTTGGATTGGGACTGTTATTCACAGTATACAGTGTGCTGCCAGACATAGTGTAGGGAGAAAGAAGATATGAAACCTGCTTTATTAGCTGAGAAAAAAAAGGGTGACGGGGACCCTTTTCTTCTGTTTCTGCATAAGGGAGTGAAAGCATGGACAGGTAATAGGGATATTAGATCACACAAGAATTAGTTCTTGTTCTTGAAAACTTTTCACAAGCTGAATTGCTGCAGAATGCTGATGTAAAAATATTAGTGCTGGGCCAATATTTCCTTCAAAGTTTTAAGTGTTTGTGAAGGCTGGAAAGCTAATGACTCTGAATGCAGGAAGAGAATTCTATATGGAATCTGGGATGGGGATGAGATGTTTCTCTCTGGGAAACAATGAAAAGTAGAGGACAGCCCCCGCCCCGCCCCGCTGTCAGTATTTTGAGTGGCACACATCTCAAATTTACTTCATCTACATTTGTCAACAGAAGTAAAAAAAAAAGTGGCATCTCCCACCCCCCTCCAAATTTGTTGCAGTTGTTTTAACCTCTTGGAAAGAGGCGGGAGTTACCCTATGATAAGGTGAGAGGCCAATAAATTTGATAATAAATGAAAATAAAAAAGCTCTGTCCATATCTAAAGGAGGAACATTCCCTCTGAGTCTGCTGAATTCTCAATTTCATCTTACATTGAAAATGCATTGATTAGGGCCAAATATTGACTACCACCAATACTAGATCAATGCTTTTCTATATCAGCTAAGTTGTACTGAGGTTACTTCCAGGTGAGGCCTTTATTGTATGATCCCCCTACCTTATTTATGGAATTTTAAAGTGGGGCTCAGAAGACCTTGCTTTCTACTTTCTTTATTATATGTACGTATGTGTATTCTTATCATAAAATCATTAGGAGAAAGGGACAATATAACAGTGTGATAGTATTTAAATGGTTTCACTAGGAGCTTCCTTCCAGAACAAGAATGAGTGAACTGAGTGGCCTCAGAGTTATTTCTGCCTTCAGTTACCAAAAGTTAGTTTCCTGCCATGGTGTGGTAGGAATCACCCGGAAAATACATTGCAAGCCTCTAAAAGAAAGAACAGCCCATGATCCTGCAAAAACCCAAGATGAAAAAAAGAGAATTCTTCTATAAGCCTATCTGTCCGATTTATATCCTCAGCAAATACCCATGAGGCCTTGTAGTCCTTGGCTACAAAATGTTAATAGTGGGCTATGGAGATCCAAAGGTTGCCCATCCCTGTAGTAGAAGCTCCCACACATGACTTGTACTGATGTTTCCATGGCGTTCAGTAAAGCTTCTGTCTTTCTCGTACTGAGGGATAATGCTTGTGTTCTGTCCTTTGGCTTTGCAGGTGTTGGTGGCAATTTGGTGGCTATCCAGGCCAGTCGCATCTCCACATTTCTGCATTTCTGGAGCATGCCTGGAGTCCTGCCACACAAAATGACGCAGCATTGGCCTAATCCGTGTACCACCTTCTTCGCTTCAGGTAGGAGGCCATTGGTCCCTTGCTATTGGCATACCCGGACTCTAGAATTTCAGAAAGTACTGTACTGGGAATATGTACCCATTAACCACACAAAATGCTTGGTTCTCCATTCAGTGATACAGAAAATTACTCTTGTTTCCCATAGTCAGAAAAGTATATGCATTGTCTAATGATGAAAAGGTTGTACAAAAGGCTTATTAGCAAATATTAATTGAAAAACAATATACAGAGAGTTCTCTGTCTTAAAGAATATTCAATTTTATACTGAAACAGAATGAGTTGAATGTGAGAGGCTTCCGGTGGCAGGCGACTTCGTCGGTCGGCAGCTGTTTGCTGCCTCCCGCCTGTTTCGCGTAAAAGCCGGTTTGACAGCCAGCACCAGCTGTCAAACGGCTTGATACCTTTCCCCTGGGCATAAGGGGATAGGTGAGCTGCCCGGGGTAGGAGTTGAGTTCCCGAGTCGTCCTATATGGACGATGTAGGCGAGAACTCCTCCGGAGCCCCGAGGATTCTCCGCGATCCAGGACGCCTTCGCTTCGGCGAAGCTAGAAGCCGCCGCCACTGCTGCAACCTGAAGTTAATTGTGAGTTTTACTTGTAAGCAGACGAACCAACTTTGGAAGCTTGCTTTTTATTTTGGACTTTACTTTAACTTGGATAATAAGTTTCTCCCCGTACGTGTGT